AAGCCAGGAATCAACGGTAGATGTGGTAAAAGAAGTAAAAAAGTACGTAAATGTAAATATTTTTGACGTCATAAAAACTGTTTACTTAAAATCATTTTATGAAAAGGGGGCGCTACAAGCTTAAGATGTGTATCATTCTGTTTATCTGTCTGTGTCATCGTAGCGCCCAAACGAATGAACCAATTTCAATTCAGTTTTTTTATTGATAGGTGATTTAATCGACCATATATTGGTGATTATAATTTGTCAAAGGCTTTTTAATTTTGCCACCAAATAAACTAACCTTAACCCCGCGACATAAATAAAATATATACACCTATATCTACAATATATACACCTGCTACAATTATTTATAATAAGTCTCGCCCTTTTTATACGGATTTGGAACATCATTTTTACAACTGAATAAGTTACGAGTTTATACCGTACTAGTGTATTGATATATTTTTTACAATACACTGATTTTCTTCATTGAATAGTAATAATTCTGTCTATAAAATGTCTTATTACTAAGCGAGAATTAAAGAAAAGTAGTGCGAGAAAAGTCTACAAAATTGGTTAAATGCGAGCTAGCGACTTCACACGTCCTTCAATAGTTAGGTTCATTCAGGCATGCGGTTTTCTTTGCGATGTTTTATTTATTTATTAATTAAGGTTTTCTTTACCAAGGCAAGTATTAATGATGAAACAAATTGAGATTCGCCCATGAAAATCCGGTGCTTAAAGCCGCTTTTCTCTGTTCCCAAAGTGGGTACTCTCCTATTAGGCTACCACTTATATACGAATATCAAGATATATCGGACTAACAATATAGTAATATCTCCCTCTACTAAATAATTAATCTAAGGCTCTTTTACTGCAAAGAACAAAACATTTACGTACGTATATATATATATCATGAACGAATGTATCTAATTCGTCCATGATATATATATATATATATATATATATATATATATATATATATAATAATATTTCGTGTGTCTCAGAAACGGTTCTAACAATTTGATTTTTCATTTCTGGAAAACTCAGCTTTTATATATTTCCAAAAAACGTCGAGCGAAGCTCGGTCGCCCAAGTAGTTTATTGTTTATATGGATTACAAGATAATAATAACTTTATCTTTAAAGACATAACTATGGTATATGCCATAGGTACGTTGTGACAAAAGTCATTATCATCATTATTATTTACAGAAGCTTAGATTTTTCTATCGTTACAAGCAATGCCCACCGCATCGTGCGATCTTGGTATAAGCGTCCAAAAATAAATTCCTAAGCGAAAATAACTACCACGTGGGGGCGGGTTAGGAGTCATCGTATGTAAACAGAATTTAACCACTATGATTTAAAATATTATGAACTAAATAATAAATAGCTACTTATTTCGAAATAAAGTATAGAATAAAAGTGTTGTTGAAATAAAATTAAGATTGTACTATTATATTCTTAGATCAAACAAATTACGAGTACATATGTCTTGAATCCCCAAATATAGCAGACTGTGACGTCGTATGTCCAGATGAAATTGCTTAGAGGAGTTAGACTTCTTTTAGAGATACTATTATCGCGAATAATGAGGTGAAGTGGAAAAAAATAGGAAGATTTTTGCCCAGTGGGATTTTTGCCCACCACATGCCATACATAATAATTATCAAATAAATTGAATATAGCATGTGTTCTATCCTTTTTATTGGGTGATTGAGTAATATTAAAATCAATACTAAATAACTAACGACTGACCCTTGCTTCGCTCGATGAAGATCAAGAAGAGTCCTTGATTAGAACGTTCGGACCAAGTATAGTTACTATATAGGAGTTAGTATATATAGGAGTATTAGTGATAGGAATAAATATTTATAATAAAAATGTACACATGCAAACATGTTATATAAAAACATTGTACATATATTACGCCATTAATATACATTTATATAATATATTAATAAAAGAAAATCTTCGTGAGGAAACCTGCATGTCTGAGAGTACCTAGCAAGTTTTCGAAAGACATGTGAAGTCCAAACCGCACTTGGCCAGCGTGATGGACTATGGCTTGATTCAATCATAATGAAGGGAGGTCCATGCCCAGCAGTGGGATATTGAAAAGGGCTGAATACTTTTGATGTCCGCCACCGTGGCTGAAATTGGTCCCGATTAACGGAAATTAGTTTTGATATCAAAAACATTGTCAATTGACATCAATAAAAGACAAACTTTGACTAAATTAAGGATTCACGAACACGAGGCACAATTTTATTACAAATATCATTGTATAACTTCGGGCTAATTGAATACTCGGTTTAGTTGTTCGTGGTTACGATTTTAATTTGATCATTCACAGATAAGCCTCTAGAGTGATGGAATCTGACAGAGATACTGTCGCAATTATAATATAAATAGGGATTATTTATTTTATCTATTACAATGAATGAATTTTAATATGTATTTTCTTACATTTATGGGAATACTAGCAGAACACGCGGCTTCGCTCGCGCTAAAACTACAAAAGACACTATAGGTAGGATTCATACATACTTTCATCCTCTATCTTACCCCCTTATGGGATGAATTTCGAAAAATGCTAAAACGAGTTTCAAGTAATTCTAATCATAAATATTTTTTGGGTTGTATAATAACGAGTTTTCCAATAGGAATGAGATAATTTTCCGCTGTAAAAAGTTATCTACATATATTACTCTCCAGACCTTTAACTATCTCCACACAAAAATTCACGCCAATCCGTCACTCTGTTTCGACATGAAAAAAGTACAAACAAACAAACCAACACACTTTCACATTTATAATATGAAAAATATGGTTTTATTATTTTAAACATAGCTATTTTGTCGAATTTTTTATGGATTTACGACGCTTCGAATCCTTTACAGCAATCATGGCAATGGCAACACGTGGGAGACCTTTTTAGACGTCTCAAAAGTTAACACATACGAGTATATCTACATTAATTTGGAAAAAAATGAAATGCTTTATAATTTGCAATAAAAACGTACCTGTCATATGAGAAAGGTTAATCTCAAGTGAATGGGATATGAGAAATCCATGAAATTCGACAGAATATGTTATTCAATTTGAACTTTTATATATTTACTAGCGGACCCGACAGACGTTGTCCTGTCTACACGTCTTTAATTTGAAAATTTCAAACTTTTTTTATTAATTTTTTGGATGAAAATTATTATTCAAATTGTGAATCTAAACCATTCCCAGATCCCCTTGAACACACACAAAAAATTTCATCAAAATCGGTCCAGTCGTTTGAGAGAAGTTCAGTGACATACACACTCACAGAAGAATATATATAAAGATGGAAACAAAAGTCTACGTATATGGGTTATAATAACTATAATATATATATATATATATATATATATATATATATATATATATATGTGCGCATTTTTAGCCGACTTCCAAAAAGGAGGAGGTTCTCAATTCATCGTATTTTTTTAATAAAAATAATAACAATAATAAAAATGTGTGTATACACACAAATAATATTAGCTTTTGCCCGCGGGCTTACTCGCATAGTAACACACAATATGTATAAGTGCAAAATAGGCGCATAGTCGTCGAGTTGCGGAAAACAGCCTGAACATACCATACTCGCATAGTAAATTAGGCCAGGATCAAAGGTAGCCTATGTCCATCCCCAGGATGCAATTTACGTCCTTGCCAAATTTTATAAAAATCTGTTCAACATTTTAAGTGTGAAAAGATTACAAACAAAATTACTTTCATAATTATAATATTAGAATGAATACAATTTAGACTATAATAAAATTCTAAGTCAAATCTGTACATTAAATATTTTTTAGAAAATCTTATTGAAATAAACATTATTATCGATACAGAGGCCGAATCAACAACAGAAAAACTACTGGACGGATTTTGATGAAATTTGGTATAGTCATAGTTGATTATCCGGGTCAACATATAGGATACTTTTTACCGCAGAAAAACATCTTATTTCTGAGAAAAAATACGAAAACTGGTTAGAATAAGAAAATGATGATACTATAGATAACTTACTAAATAAAACTTAACCAAGTTAACTTATTAAATATGTCAAAAACTATTCAAAATAGCTAATCTTGAAAAAATATATTAATAGCACTATTTTAGTCATTAAAAAAAAATATTTTAATGAATATTTATTTTTGTATTATTTAGATATTTGTCAATAGATGTCGCCATGTGTCTTTAAAATATGTAGTTTTAATTCCAAAAAAATTAATGTACTAATTCGACCTTTCTATGAATTTATTAGAATTACTACTAAATTACCCGCGGACGGGGGTACGTGTTCAAATTATCAATCAATAAAACAATCTTTTTGGCTTTATAAATTAGTTACATCTATAGATACATTAAAATTTAATGAAGCAGTATCTGTGCTTTAAATATTTTTTTAAAATTTTATTGAAATACACATTATTTTATTATCGCTAACAGAGGCCGAACCTATAGTTTTAAGAATTTTTGTCTGTCTGTCTGTCTGTGACCGCATCACAGAAACGTCACTGGAGGGATTTTGAAGAAATTTGGTATGGTAATAGCTGGTTATCCGGGACAACTAATATGCTAATACGAGTATACTAATATATAAAACCTAAGAATTTGGTTTTGGTCATATGAACGCGGGCGGAGCCGCGGGCAATGCTAGTTATTACTATAATATTCAATATTTGTCAATCAAAATCTTAAATGAATGTAGAAGTTTACAATTATATGGGTGCGTGTGTGTGTGTGTGTGTGTGCGTGTGTGTCTGCATGGGTGTGTGAGTGTGTATGTGTGTGCCTGTGTATGTGTGGTTGCTTTATAAACTATGGTCTGTAATAACATATATAAAGAATATTGTTAATAAAAAAACAATAAATGAGCAGGAATTTTAAGATAAAATTAATCTATAGATCAACATAAACGATTAAAACGAAACTTAGTAATATTTTTATTTGTTGATAAAATGATTTTTGTTACAGCTTGAGCAAGATGGCTACGTAGTGTTAGAAGACTTTCTTCGGCCGGCGGAGTGCGACGAATTAGTAGCAGCTGGCCAGGAGCTGACAAAACAAACTCCTGATTCAGAAAATCTAACGATATTTACCACAATTGAAAGTGATAAACAGGTAAAATTTGAATTATAATGTCAGCTATTGATTACTTCTTACCCGGGGCTCCTTATGGTAAGCTTTTCGATAATGGTAGCCTATATGTTAATTCAGAATCCACACGTTTGTATAAACCACAAACTTCAATTTCTACAATCACACAATAGTATGGATGCATCACAAAGACTTGCCGCAAATTTCCTTTGATTTGTGTACTAAAACCACATTTGGAATGGCCATAATTGCTTGCCATGTACCAGATGATATATAGATCATATAGCTTCTATAAGCCAGTTCAAACGCTATCGAAAAGCCAAATGTTTGAGTTTAGAAGGGCTTGTCAAGGCTTGTTAAGCGTCTGAATACAGCAAATTTATTTCTGATAGATTCAACAAAAATACGTATACACTTGCTTCTTTGTAGTTTTTATTTGAATTTTGCATTTGCTGCCCGAAAAAAATATATCCATACTAATAATATAAATGTGAATTTGTTTGTTCTTCTTTTACGTCGAAACAGAGTAACGGATTGGCGTGATTGTTTGTGTGAAGATAGTTGGAGGGCTGGAGAGTGACATAGGTTACGTTTTATCGCGGGAGATTACATAATTCCCACGGGAAAACACGTTATATTACAATCCAAAAAAATATTTATTATCAGAATTACTTGCAACTTGGTATACACACTCTTCAATAAAATTAAATACGTGTCTCAGCATTTTTCAAAATTCATCCTATAAGGGGGTAAAATAGGGGATGCAAGTTTGTATGAAAAATATGAAACTACCTTTTTAGAGATTTTTTGTAGTTTTAGTGCGAGCGAAGCCGTTATATATAATATATTAATAATAGCAGAACCCGTTCTGCTAGTCTATACATATAATAAAATTCTAACTCAGTCAAATCTGTACATTAAATATTTTTTGGAAAATATTATTGAAATAGTCATTAATATCGATCCAGAGGCCGAATCTGCAGTTTTTTAAATTTTTGTCTGTCTGTCTGTCTGTCACCGCACCACGAGAAAACCACTGGACAGATTTTGATGAAATTTAGAATGATGATAGCTGGTGGTTATACGGGTCAACATATAGGATACTTTTTACCGCGGGAAAATGTCTCATTAATGAGAAAAAACACAAAAATTGTATTGTAAGAGTATACTAATATGTAAAACCTATGAATTTGGTTTTTGGTCATCTGAACGCGGGCGGAGCCGCGGGCAATGCTAGTATTTATATAAATATGCAAAGGCAAAACAGTTCAGTATGTTTTTTCTCCTCTGTTTGTCAACCGAGTTTCTTTATTTTTTGTTTAGAAGCTATTGACGCTAAAAAAATGGGAAAAAGTTCATATATAAATAGATAAAGGCAAAAAATGGAAAAATGTAAATTCATATACATACATACATATGTGTGTTTAATTTTTATAATAATAATGATCGAATTTCTACCACTGTGTGCCACTGTTACACTATATTATTATGAAAATGACCTATATACCTATCTTTGTGATAATAAAGCTAGTTAGTTGCCTTTCTGAGCTACGAGAGACTTAATTATATAAACAATGTTACTCCTTTTTTACCGACTTCCTTCAGAAATGATCACTCAAGAGTTCCTGGAAATTTTCCTTGCAACCTTTTTCCTAGAACTTAATAATAACCACAGCAAAGGTCGAACAAAGTTATAAATTTATAATAAAGCTTTATTTTACTTTGTTTATATGAACGTCTAAATACAGTGAAAATAAAAATTCAATTTTATAAAATATTCAGCTCCATTATAATTTATAATTTCTGAAAAGTAATTCAATAAGCAATACACATTTTATATTACTAGGAAATTTCATCAGTCATAGAAACAAAAAGATTTATTTTCCAAATGTTGGTTTTATTCAAGATAAATACTTTGTTCAAGAACTGTTTACTGAGTTACTTTTTCTTTTTATAGTCTTGTATGATTCGAACTTAGGATTATACTGTTATGTTTTGGCATTCAAATGCAATAGCGATTATGCCACACCACGTCAACCAAGTGTAGGCCGGGAGACATCACATGGTTTTCGAAAATTAGTTAGGTGCTCTCTGGTGGTCCAAGCGAGCGCGTTACCACTAAGCTAGCAAAGCTAGTTAAATTGTGGGTTTTGTTAAATGAAGCACATGTGTAGTATCTAAGAGTAGTGATAATTTAATCTTACTAATATTAGAAATATGAAAGTTTAGATGTTTGGAAAAAGGTCGATTTTTTTATTTGTTTCATTTATACGTTTTAATTTATAGTCTAGTCAACAAGTGCCTTTTAGGTCAACTTTTTTCAGCAGTCTCGGAAAAATATCAACGAGGTGTCATTCGATTCGGAATATCTATGTAATATAAATCTCAATTGGTTTATGAGATATTTGCTGAACTAAAAGGCACTTATTGACTAAACTTTTACTACGTCCTTTAGTAGGGGTTTTATTGTAATATTTCCTTCTTGGCTTGCGGGCTAAACCTATACCTACGACAATAAACTAGAAGTTGACTAGAATTTAGATATAGACTAATTTCTATAAGCTCTATAAGTTTTTTATTTGGACCACACAGTTAAAACAGGCAATATTAATTTAGCCAAGATATATCTTTATATGGGCTTTAACATACTTTTTATGAGGTAAAGCAAATTATGTATCCGTTATAACGCGCTTTATACAAGAAAAACCATAAAGTCTTATTACACTACTTAGCGAACTAAGATACGACAGTTTACTTTGTTCATAAATAATAATTTTAAAATATTAAAAGCAGGTGTGGGTTAAAACAATTAATCTATATTCGCACTCTAGTCATCGTTCTATTACTTTTTTTATGCCTGACATAACTGCCACTATTATTACCTTTATTCTTAGCCTAAAGAGTCATACAGATTAAGTCCACCGAAATAAATGTCAAAGTTGAAAATAGTAGCGTATTAGTTGTTCATATTTTGGTTCTCGATTTCGCCATACAGATCCTTTACTTTCTTTAAAGAATAATGAAAATTTTATAAATATACTAGTTAAATTAGACTGCATTTTTGAGAATAAGCATATAATAATTAATTACCTACTACGAGTACATATTTCTATTTAATAACTTTTACTAACTTATCACTCAGTATACAAGTTGTGATTTGTACACTTTTTTTAAAGGTTGTTTGACTTCATGTTAAGTTCTATGACACTGTCTATACTCTATAGGTATTATTTCTTAGTCTAAGCCTGCACTATAGTAGTGTAGATACTAGATACTGAATTGCTGGATCCTTGACAGATCACAGACCACAGAAAGTAACCTCTATATTACAAAGGCACATCTCTGTCACTACCTATATAGGGCTATTTTTAAATTTATCTACTGAAAACCTTTTGGGAATATACTATTTACATCATAACAACAACATCTGTAACAAGAAAAAATATTATTTCTTGAATTTGTTTTCAGTAAATTAAAAATGACCATGTATACAGTCTTTATTCAAATAAATTAGCCAAAATTACCGATTACTATAAATAGTATATAGAAAACTCTTTGAACGCGTTTGCCGTAAGTGATGTGAAGGCGTCGTAATATTACGTAATATAACGCTTATGATTTTTCATTTTATTTTCAGCAACTAAAGGATTCATATTTTATTGAAAGCAACGATAAAATTAGCTTCTTCTACGAAGCCGACGCTATAGGACCGGACGGAAAACTGCAGGTGGATCCAAGCATTTCATTAAACAAGGTATGTAATTAGATCTATATATACATATACATCTAAATTCTCATGACTACAAAGCATTATTTTTCACTGTATTATTTTTTATTTATTAAATAAGGCTTACCAACTAGAGTAGGTACATACACAAAGCTAATTACTAAAATAACATTAACCATTTATTTGTATATTACTCTAAATTAAAAGCACGCACAACATTTTTGATACACATACATTATGTGTGTATGTAACAGCTCGCACGTCACTCGTTTCAATTTTCTATGATTTTGTACTTTTTTAAATTAACAAATGATCTGACAAATGGCATAATTATTTTAAGAAATTCATTTCACAAATTCAATACTCACATTAAAAATATACATATATATTAAGTTGTGAAAATAAAAAGATTTAAAACAAATATTGAAGTCACCGAATGTTAATATTCCGAATGTATATATTTAATCATGGTCATGGGAGAGACTGATTGCTGTAAAGCATTCGAAACGTCGGGAACCAAAAATCAAAATAAATTCGCGAAAAAATTCGAAAAGATAGTTTTATTTAAAATGGTAATCATTTCTTCATTTTTTTTCAGGTGGGACACGCTTTACACCTTCTACACCCTATCTTCAGATGTTACACATACAGTGACAGGGTCAAGGCTGTTTGCAATGAACTAGGCTTAAAGGAACCTGCGGTGGTGCAAAGCATGTTCATTTACAAGAACCCTGGATTAGGGGGAGAAGGTAATATATTTAAATACTCATTTTTTCCCCAAGACGTTGTTTAAATTAATTAATACAACAATTTAAAGATTTTTAAGCCATGTCTACTATGATAATACTGTTATTGTTTTTAGAGTTTCGTAAATACAGAGTTCAGCCAAAGCCAAAATTATTAAAGCCCCCCTTAAATATTTGTTTTATTTTAATTTTAATTATTTATTTTTAAAGTGAATATCTATCTGTTACCGTTATCAATATCGAGCAATAATGAGCAAAAAAATCACGTTTGGTGTATGGTAGCCCCCCTTAAATATTTATTTTATTCTGTTTTTTAGTATTTAAAATTTCAACTGTATTAATATCACGGTTCATGACACAGAGCCTGGTGACAGACGGACAGATAGATAGACATAACAGACATATTATTATTACAAACAGAAGCCTACGCGTTACTTCAGACAATATTCTATCTATGTACTTTTGCTAAAATATTTCTACCTAGTACCTACATATATTCTAAACAAGATAACCTTGCTATGGACAGAATGACATGTGAAAGCATTAGATTTATTTTTGTCATAATGGGTGTACACATTACCTTTAATGTGTATATAAACCTTTAATCAATGCATCGTATAACATTACAGGCTTTGTTGTTCTAAATGGATCAAGTAGAATGTAATGGCGTATTTCAATATCTCCAACACATTCTCGAGTAGGTACTCTAGTTTACTGTCGACTAGCCATTGTCTTCGAATTCGTTTTTATTTCAATTATTACTAGCATTATCTCGCAGCGTTGCCCACGTTATTTAGTTTTGTACGATTTCTCCGATTCTAGTGTTACTGTGATGTTAGATAGTCTATAATCTTCCTTAATAAAAAAGCTAGGGTGTACTTTAGAATAGCCCATACCTCCGCTTAATCTGGATTTTTTATTATTATTTTTTCAATGTACAGGTGCACTCAAAATCTTTTGCGCCTATTCCTAAAACCTATATCTATGTATATCAATACTAATATTATAAAGGAGAAAGAGTGTTTACTTGTTTGTTTTTTTGTCTTCTTTCAAGTCTTAACGGAGTGACGGATTGGTGTAATTTTTTTGTGAAGATTGTTGGAAGGCTGGAGAGTGATATAGGCTACTTTTTACCGCAGGAGATTATCTCATTCCCACGGGAAAACACATTATAAGACAACCCAAAAAAATATTTATGATCATAATTAGTTGAAACTTAGTGTAAAAACTTAGAAGAGCATTACTCTTCAATACAATTAAATTAATATGTGTTTTAGCATTTTTAGAAATTCATCCCATAAGAGGATAAAATGGGGATGAAAGTTTGTATGAAACCTACCTTTTTAGAGTTCTTTTTGTAGTTTAGCGCGAGCGAAGCCGCAGGTTCCGCTAGTAGGTATATAAAATAAAGTCGGGTTTGTTACAACACTTATAACTCAAAAACTGCTCGACCGATTTTTATGATCTTCATTTTGTTGGATTTGTCCTCACTCCCAATAATAGAATAACTATTAAAATATAGGAAAAAATCACGTAAATAGAATTAAAAAAAAAAGAATCTATTCCATACTAAGTGATAAAACGTACCTAAGGACGAACCTGAGCGAAGCGAGGGTAAGTCGCTAGTAATTATATAGAAGAAGGTCCTCATCGCTAAAGTCACTTAGCATTGTACTCCACAACTCAATAAAGAATGAACAACTGAAGTCGAATTTGGACAGCGTCGTGTGTTAACATCAGTTTGATTTGCTTATAAATACCTATATCTCCGTGGGAGAAAGGCCAAGTGTTCGCCGTGCGATCGACCCTAATTATTATTGAAAAGTGGTAAACATATAGGTATTATGAATAGAATTTACCTCTCTATATAAAAAAAATCTATTTTTTTTTTTTTTTATTGATAACACTAAAAGCCTATTTATATAATATATAAACTTGTTTATTTACTGTTGAAATATATGAAATTGTATATTGCTTATATTGCAAACATTTTGTTGTAAATAATGTTTGAATTGTAAGAACTAAAATATGAATTATATCATTTATATTGCATTTTGGATTGTTCATGGATATAATAAAAACAACTTGACGGGTTTCAAGGGAAATCTCCATTGCATAGTCAAGGTAATTTGTCCAATTAAGTAAATTTTAAGCTCTAACGAAGCTTAAGTTCTAATATATTATGAAACTACGCTCTTTATCTAGTATTATAATACCAGCATTCGCCCTTGCTTCGGTGAGACATAATTATATCCGCATAGTATAAGTACATCAATATATTTATAGGGATATATAGGATAATAGGGACATATATTCTTTAAGAGTTAATTTAATCTGTTATAATAATTATTTTACGTTTCACCACTGGGCGTGGATCTTCCTTCAATATAACAGGCAGGAGGAGGAAGCTAGCCAAATGTCGCAGACATTCAGTTAGACTCACTCAGATTTAGGTTGCTTCGCGAAGTATTCCTTTAACGCAAAGCAAATAATAAAGGTAATCATAATGAAAAGAATTCGCACATATGATTACGACTTTGACGAATTTGACGACGCGTTTGGCTCCGTTTGTAGCGACCCTACTTGCTGTGCCAGTGGTCGCGGGTTCGAGTCCCGCTGGGGGCATTCATTTTTGTGATGAGCACGAACATTTGTATTCCAGTCATGGGTGTTTACATTTATAATATGTATTTGTATAAAGTTATATATGTGTAGTGTATCAACTATCTGGTATCCATAACACAAGCCTCGTAGCTTACCGTGGAACTAGATGGTGCTGTGTGCTAATGTCCCAACATATTTATTATTTATTATTATTTATTATATATGTCCCAACCCGTTTCAATGAAGCCAGAACACGTTTCTAGTAAGCAAATACATATATTTCACACAGACAATTCTTATCCCACATAACTAATCAGTCTTCCATTTTATCACGATGCCCTGTAAAACGACGCAATTATGATCGAGAGTTGGATAGACATTACGGTTTGAACTTAGTGAAAAGTCATGTACCTACCTTTTTTATTAAATTATGCGCGTTTTTCATTCCACACCGGTATAGTCTAAGCGCTAGCCGTACGTAGCGTAATTAACAAGGCAAAAGTGGATTTTAAAAACTAAAACAAGAACAGTGTGTAATTTCACCCGCTTTCTACAGAAATGAGACATGTCATATAAGCTCTTAAAGTGTAGGTACTTTTTCGTTATTGCAAAAAATAACTTTGATTTTCAGTGTATTTAAGTAATACTGTTGAATACATACTTATTGCATCTATATTATATATAATGCTATTTTTTACGCTATATTTAAACTTTAAATGAAATTAATATTCACCAAGAGCTTAAATATCACTAATTAATCTTTACCGCAGATGAAGAGGGTGCTGAGTTCATATGTTTTTTTTTTCAAACTTTGAAACAATAGTTCATTATATAGTGTTAAATTGTACGTCTAAATTAAATATTTATGACCTATAAATGTGAAGAATCAATGAAATTGCTTAATTTAAATTTATTTACAAGGAAAGAGCTGAATTACAAATATATTTTATTATTTATAATAATAAATATACACTTAATAATTACTTCAATAAATTATTTTATTGAAAACGGTTTGTATTTTTCCAGTCGTCGCACATCAGGACGCTACATACTTACACACCGAGCCATTACCAGCGATAGGTTTCTGGATAGCTCTAGAAGATGCTACTATACAAAATGGGTGCCTGTGGATGGCACGAGGCTCTCACAAGTCAGGTGTACACCGGCGACTGATAAGAAATCCTGACAAAGAATCAAAGCAAGCATTAATCTATGATAAGGGAGCACCTTTTTACCCTGAATCGAGCTTTACTCCTGTACCTGTTAGTAAAGGTAAGATTAAAATCCCAACAAAGCATATAAACCACATGAACATATAATCTTCTCCTTGTAAAAGTTGGTTAAAAGGACAAAAGAATATAAAGCACATACATTTTCACACCCTACAAAGCGGCCTTTCAAATGAGTCTTATATATTACATATGTTCAATTTTATTAATTCAACATAATAATCGAAGGCTTTGACAAAGGGACGCCTCCACATCGGAACTCGAACCCACCAGTATTCTAGTCTCAGAATGTAGGTGTTTATCCGTATTTAATTTGTAGAGAACTGTATTTTTAGATGAATATAATATAAAATCAATATTAAATGTCAGCTTAAGTTGACAAGATTCATTTTTGCCTGGCAAATGCTCATCCCTATTTTTCTCATAAACCTGATTCTTTGCTAATACTTTTTATTTTTTACGAGAAACAATGCAGCGTCTTGCATTGCGGAATGTTCCCATCTAGCGGGCGATCTACGTCAATATCTACCAAGATTTAGTTTTCTTCTAAGTCATCCATAAAAGAGGCTAATACGCTTTACAGGAATAAATTCAAAGAATATTTAAATATTGAATACCTATTAACTTTCTTTTCATTATTAACTCGATTGAAGCTTTGGCTTGGTAGATTTTGCGCTCACGAATTATGTCCTTTTAATAGTGCTTCTTCAATTAAAAACTATAATGGGTTTAAGTATTAGTTGATAGTTTGATGTTATAAAATGATTTTATTATTTTTTTTTATATTTTCTTCAATATTAAATATTGCTTCTAATTATTTTAAATATTGATATTACCTATCAATATACAGCTTTTAAAATATCTTTTATATACCTATAATATATTTTATATATAGAAGGTAAATAAATAAATAAATAAATAAATATATTTTATATATAGAAGATATTTTAAAAGCTGTATTTTTTATGTTATATAACATATCTTCTAATTCTTAGCCGATCTTTTTTAAAATAATACCTCTAGAGTGCTCGCATGTACATTTAAAAATAACATTCTAGTGAAATAATTACTATTATGTTCAAAGTAATTTTTAAGTAGAATAATTTTTATTAATTTTATTTTCACAGGTACCTGTATCTTAATACACGGGCACGTAGTTCACAAGAGCGCACAAAACAAGAGCGATAAAAGCCGCCATGCGTACACTTTCCATGTGGTAGAGAAATATAACAACACGTATTCACCAGAAAATTGGCTGCAAGAGGGTGAAAATGCACCCTTCCTCAACCTGTATACAACGCCCCAAATAGTTTAATTTTTTAACAACAAGTTATTCGATTAAATTTTAAAATACAATTAAATAACATGAAATTACGTAGTACTTTAATTTTAGTATACAGCTCAAGTATTTTAATTAAAAATCTCAACAAGATATGTTCTTTTATCTACTACTACTACTAGAGTAGACTAGTCTGATTACATGTACTTCGACAATTGAAGAAACTCGACTCAAAAGTAATTCTTAGAATATAATGCCCTAGGTATTCTTTAGTAACATGAACCTAACAGAAAATTAAATGCTTGTAAAACAAGTAGGGAAACTGAAGAAAATAATATACATTAAATGAGAAGCTACATTTATATAATTGCACTGGGAGCTTATTGTTAGACAAGAAATTTTGAAAAATTTCATACATTGATATACTTTTTAATCGTTATTTAATAGAATTATAATGTCATTCCCATGTGGGTTTTTTTTTAGATTTCTATTCTACAACGATTGTAAAAAGGCATCAAGTTGTCCCGTAAGCTTCTTGAATTGTGTTTAAGAAGCAGATACTAATATAATTAACGTTTATATTTTTACTATAAATGTTAAAGCAACTCTGTTACCTATTTACGCTTATACTGCTAAGCCGATCTTGATAAAATAATAGCCTATATCCATTCATTATAGAAACGGTTGAAGGCTACTATTACCCCGATCATGCTAACTTTACCGTGGGCTAAAACATAAAATGAGAAAAAGCAGGCATCTATTACTGAGATTATTATCAAAGAGCTGTTGTCCTTGCATTAACTAGAACTTTTTATCTAAAGTTTGCAATAGAATTATGTTAAGTAATGACAAATAGAGTTAATTTAGATGTAGATATTATGATTTCTAACTGACTTTCAAACGGACTCATTGTATTTTAATACTTTGTCAGGAATATAAATTACCCATATATTAGTGGCTTATTGGTAATATGAAAAACTATAAATTTCCAAGTCTTGACGTTGAAAGATGATGGGATATATCGTTGTTTTATACATACATTTTGATGATATCCTCACTTTTACGCGTAATTTTCACAATTGAATTAGTGGCTTCAAATTATTATTCACATGACCTTAAGTTCATTACCGATTTTTGTGTATAAGTTAAACTCTTTCGCACCAATTTCTGCAATTTTTCGATAAAACACCTAACCAAGCATTTTTTTGATAAAACTAATGTCACGCAAGTAATTTCTGATAGATAGTAATTTCATATAATGTCAATTATATTTTTATAACGCTATTTGTCTAAAAAGTTTATATTTTATAGATACAAAATATTTTCAATGTGATATGAACGCAGATCACTGCGATGATCATTGTGATAATTTTATTAAACGAATACCAAACATTACTTATATTTTATTTTATATCTATGTCGCTATTATAAATTTATATTATTATTTTTTATCAACATGTATTCTATTGTGATGTAGAGAATAGGAGATACGAATTTAAATTTAGGATATAGTATTTTTTTGAAATAGATGTTTAGATATACACAATAGCTATATCTATGTCCCCTACATCCCCTGTTTTTATTCTGGAAGAGAAAATTAAAAATGTTCACTAAAATTTTCTTAATAAAATTAAAAATATATAAGCAAACTAGCATTGCCCGCGGCTCCGTCCGCGTTCAGATAACCAAAAACCAAATTCTTAGGTTTTACATATTAGTATACTCTTACATTGCAGTTTTTGTATTTTTTCTCAGAAATGAGACATTTTCCCGTGGTAAAAAGTATCTTATATGTTGACCCGGATAACCAGCTATCATAATACCAAATTTCATCAAAATCCCTCCAGTGGTTTTTCCGTGATGCGGTAAGAGACAGACAGACAAAATTTCTAAAAAGTATAGATTCAGCTTCTGTATTGATAATAATGAATATTTCAATAAGATTTTCCAAAAAATATTTAATGTACAGATTCGGCTTAGTTAGGATTTTATTATATGCATAGAAGAAATGGTTTAAAGTAAAGAATTTACCTTGTCTCTTGACAAAAATTAATATCGTAGTGTTCTTGAAACAAAATTTCTATAATAAAATACTAAAAACTTTATATAGTTTGTACATTTTCATCTGGCTCTATGCTCTCTACATTTCCCAGCGGCAATCCAAAAACAATCGTATATAACTCCAATCCGTACATAGAAGTACGTTATACTGTCAGCTATTGTACGATGGATAACATTGGTGCCCTTAATTGAGTCGTGCAGTGGGTCAAGAGTGCAGACGCCAGTTAGCAATTTTATATATGTATGTATACACAAATATCATACACGTAGAGACGCAAGATAAACGATTGTCACTATAGAGACTTGGAAACAAAATTTAGTTTTCCATAGGCTAGCAAATTGCCAATTTTCTTCTTTAATGTTTATAAAGATTTTGTAATTTCTATTTTTAATTATTATATTCTATTTTAAGAAGTCATTCTATTCTTTGACACTAGAGACTAACTCTCGCTAGCCTTCAGCTCTTAGTGCCTTCTGTGCTCATCTGCATTATAGTAGGGGAGTCCAAGAGGGGATTTTCTGTAGTTACTCGAGCGCGGCAGATTAACATAAAAGAGGTTACCTTGCACTCTATTGAGTGCTTTCACCATAATATAAGTCTTCTATATAAAGGGGCGCGTCTAGGGAAGCCGATTAAAATATTTAAAAAATGTTTTGATAAGGTTAAAATACTCGAAACCGTCAGATTAAGGTGTGGTAGGCTAGTCACATCCTGAAAAGTGTCCAATTCAATAATCTGCCGATTTGCACAAGCCGAAGAGGCAAAAATCGACTATAAAGTTTATGATGATTTTTGCCTCTTAGGCTTGTGCAAATCGGCAGATTATTAAATTGGACACTTTTCAGGATGTGACTAGCCTACCACACCTTAATCTGACGGTTTCAAGTATTTTTACCTTATCAAAACATTTTTTAAATATTTTAATCGGCTTCCCTAGACGCGCCCCTGTATATAGAAGACTTATATTGAGGTGAAAGTACTCAATAGAGTGCAAGGTAACCTCTTTTATGTTAATCTGCCGCGCTCGAGTAACTACAGAAAATCCCCTCTTGGGCTCCCCTACTATTAGCTACTCTAAATTAACGTATACAAACTAAATGACAGACAGAAAGACAAATTAGTTTTTGCATTCGTTTTGGAAAATAAATTGGTTGACCAATAAAACAGAAAATCGAATGAAGGCACTTTTCCGGATGCACTATTAATACAAACTACATTTTTGATTTTTAATTGGCTCTACTTCTTATCCCTCTTCTCTATAAGTACCATATAAAATTTAAAAAATGAGAAACAAAAAAAAGTTTTCTATAATTGGGCACTTTTTGAATACCTTGTTTTCATATCTACAAAAAAAGTAAAAATTTTGAGTTCTCTATTTTTCGCTATAATTACCATACTTATTACGTAGCTTTTTTGTATCTATTACACAAAAGAAACGACTGTTAGCTGATAAAGGCCTTTGCAGATAGCTTGTAGTCGTACGATGATCAAATCCGTTATCTCTATACAATTTACTTTCCATCTGAAAAGCTTCCGACACAACAAGATGGCAGCACCCATCAATAAAAGCTAGGCTCGTAGAATTAAAATAGCTGTTGTGTCTACAAGTAGTGAAATTTAATGTGATTTTCATAGAGATATTTTATTGACCGGAGAGGCTAAAGACTATATAGAGATACATTATGGGTCAGAAAGGCTTAGATGGGTAAGAATCTGCTCAAAATTCGTTTATTAATCGAGCATGTTATAATTATAATCATAAATTTAGTAACATAGATTTATTTAATTATAAAGATGTTTACATTGTTAAGAAAGTGTTTTTAAAATCTTTAATATCTCTATCATAACCTTAAGTCATTTTTAAAATTGCCTATTCATATTATGTTTTTTTATTATTGTTTTATTATGTTCTGTTAGAGTTTGAGTTTTGCTTTTTGTGTTTTTTTTTTTTATTTTATAATTTGTTTTTTATTTTATTTTTTTGTAATTCTAACTTAGTCATTTTTATTGTTGTCATTTGTAGTGTTTTTGCAGTAACTTTTGTTAAAATTTTATTATATAGTTTTAATGTTTAAATTATTTATGTTTACTCTACCTGTGACATATTTATAGGTGGAAACTTTGCTGGTGTGTGGACTTTTTAGTTTTTTAATTAATTTTAAGAATTTTGTCACTGTTTGTTTCCCAAAAATAAATAAATAAATAAATAAAAATAAATAGAACAAAGGCTACTTTTTTATCCCAAAAATGAAATGATTCCCGTGGGGTTTTTAAATAATATACTTAGTTCGATGCAGAGGCAGCCCAGTGAGAGCACGCTGCTTGGGGAACCAAGCGGCTTCAAATCCCGAGGTTTGCACCTCTGATATTTTCATTTATGAATCATTTTCCACATTACCACTTGCCTTACGGTAAAGGAAAATATCGTGAAGAAGTCTGAGAGAAGCTAGCAAGCAAATCAATACACATATGAAGTCGGCCAACCCGCATTAGCCAACGTACGGGAATATGACCTGATCCCCCCGTATTGAAGAGAAGCCCGTGCTAGCAGTGGGGGGTTAAAAAGGTAATATATACCTAGTTCATTGAAATAACGCTAATAACTCAACCTTGCGTGTTTTGTCGGCCTTTATTCGATAATTGCAATGTTTCAGTGATATGATATCCGCGGGTCAACAACCCAACTTTTTTCATTTCCTAGTAATTCGAGTATGATAAACATTGCTTCTCATATAACTCTACTATAATACCGCAACTTCATAAGAATTTTAAATTTATATTTGTAATACCCAATTACAGTATATTTTTATATTATTCAGTATACGAGTATGTATTCTCACATTCTTTTTACTTTCAAACGGTCTGCCCTTTGTATGTAAACTTTATTAATAACTCACCCCTTTTTTTTTTAACGTTGGGAAATTCATTTACGCACGACGTGTGGGACTCACCGGCGTAATACAGCCAGTAC